TTTAGTTGGTAATTTTTTTTCCCTGTTTATTCATGTAGAGCCTTTACTATGATTTAATCAGTACATCTGAATAAGGTGGTATGTCATTTTACCCTATGTGGGTCAAGTGCATTATGTGAAATATTTGGGTGTAGTCCAATAAATTGACATGATTGGGTCAAAAGAACCTTTAAGCTAGGGAGTAAGGGATTTGAGCAACAATAAGGGAAACCAATTAAAGGATGAAAATTGCTAAACAAATTCTCAAATTAAATTAGATTATAGTATTAACATAATCTATAACATTTCAGATCTATCACAATCCATAGATTTATATATTGGGTAACAAACTATTTCAAATTCACGTTACACAAGAGCTTCCGAATTGCGGTCTTCTTTTCAAATAATAGTGACTCATTATGCACATATCCGTTTTTAGTGATGAAAACATTTCAAATAACGCCGTCTCTATTGTAATTCTATTTCGCTTAAACGTCGTGATTTATGATCTTACTATAGATAAGCATGCTCCCACGACGTCTTATACTAGACTATATAACATAAAGGTGAATGCTTGAGTGGCTATAATAAATATTCTCACTGAACTGTGTACTATGATTTGACAAAACAATATATAAACGCGATAGTTTACATTAAAAGTTAAGTTGTCAAAAGAACACAAGAAACTGACTACGCTTTTAAAAGCGATTTGCATTTATGTGGCGTTACCTGTCTTGTAAAAATTAGAACAAGTTTTTAAAGTGTATTGATAAATAGGCCTAATATAATAAAATGGTTCATAAACTGCATATGAATAGTTTCAATTGATATGCGAATGCGGATGAATTTAAAATTGCAAGGCGAACACGTTTAGACTTGCTTGATGTTAGGTTTACAGTTTACCAAGGAAGTTGACGGGAGATTGATTAAAGATGGTTTTACTCGCAGCGTTTCCAAGAACAGCATGTCTGATTGTACTGGTGCTAACATTCTCTCTGTTACATATAATAGATTGTAACATTACAGAAAGTGTTCAAAAACTGAACATAACTAACACCAACCACTGTACAGTTTCACCAGCCGACAGATTGTTTCGAGATCAGCTATTACAGTTGTTGAAAGCTGGAGTTAAAATGTTTGATTTTGATTTAGAAATAAAGTACCAACCTCGTGATATTTTGGAGAGTAAAAGAGGAAACATCATTAGGTGGAATCATTGGATAAAAACTGTTGATAATCGTGGTCGATCATTGTTGATGTTGGATGACAATTATGAGCTCCTTTCTCTCAACTCTATGAAAATGGGATTAAAACAGTTGAATGTCTCCCTAGTTGAAGATCCCTTAGGATGTGTACGCAAGTTATCTGCTGAGGACACAGCGGATTTATTACGTAGAGCTGTTCTCAATGATTTTCAGAGAGATCCGCCGGTTATAACAGAAATGAATGTAAGAAAGCCGACACAAAGTGTCTGTAATATGCACATCAAAGATAATAATGGGGAGGCTAAGTTTTTATATGAATGCTGTCATTATATTGAAAGACACGAACTGGTATGTTCTGATGTTGAGAAAGATTCCTGGATGGGTGTTTTGGTGGTGTTAGTGATCTCCGTGAAGATTATCTTGGTTCTCTTCAGTCCATTATTGATTCCAGAAAGTCTGTACCGAGAAAAGTTTATTGATGCAGAATATCATCATCACGTTCTAACAGACTCAACTGGTCGTAGCGTAAGAACTATTAAAGTTGTTGCTACTCGCGATCCAGAAAACTACCAAAGTGATAACGCTGTGGTGAAACTAGATCATGTGCAAGGAATGGAGTATTTGAAGACTATTCTGAATAATTTGGATAATGTTTATAAGATGGAATTGGATGATATTCGATTATCTGTGAGTGCTCACAGATTGTTACCAGAAAACAAAGTACCAGTTGGCATTTTACGTTATTTCTATAATCATTTATGTCGTTGTAAAATAAGAAATGTTAAAGCCTTTGCAACGTGCTGTGCTTCCAACATTTTTGCGAACTTTGGGTTCCGTAGCGTCAAATGGTACAGATGCTTGGTTCCATTTATGAAAGTGGTCCAAATGTTTTTAATTCTTTTGCCTTGGATTTTACGAATAGTTATTTTCTTCCAATATGAAAGATATAATGAAGTGTACAGGGGTCAAAGAGCTGCAGAATTAGGATTAAAGATGGGTTTTACAGGAAGTTTTACAGTATATCTGACACCCTTACATTCGTTATTTATACTGTGTTATGTTGTATTACTTCTTGATGCTATTGTTTATGGTGTTATTAGCCTATCTGTGAAAGAAAAACTGAAAAGGGTTACGATGAAATGTTTACGGGCCATGCGAGAAACATCCAAGCTTAACGTCTGCTCTTGGTCTATTGAACTTCTCCTGGCACCTTTTACATCATGTGGTATTTTAGGACTTCTGTTAGCAGCCCCATATTGGTTTCTACTCATTCCTTTTTTATTTATTGTGCTATTGTTCTATTTCATCCCGACTATTAATTTTATTGTTCGGATGTTAATTCACTTTTTCATATTCTTATGTCCAGAGAAACTAGCACTAAAACTAAAAATCTTAATGGCGAGAACGAGGAAAGTAAATAATCGACTGAAACTGGACCAAATAAAGGAAGAAGATAATTTTGAACGAAAGGAATATATGACTAATGGTGATTTAATATTTCAATATATTGTTATTATTATATGTATCATCTCATTTTTATCTTTAACCTTCCTGGTTATGGAATGTATTTCGTTCTTTGTGGAGATGGCAGTCTATACATCAATTGGAATTATTATCAACGCTCAAACCGCCCTGAAATATCTATCTGTTGCATCCCTTCTAATTCTCTACGCTAAGGACTGCTTTGGAAAACTCCATACCAAATACCTAGCGTTTCATAAGGTTATTGCTGGCCAATTATTGGCTAAAGAGAAGGAATTAATCGAGGAGACTGCCAGAGCTGATTCACTGCTGCAAGAGAACACTGTATTCCGTGTTAGAGGTGAGGAAAATACCAACCCAGATGTTAGATTGATAGTGAAGGATGAAAAGATACGCTGGGATACATCTGGATTTCTCATCTTTCTCGATAAGCAAGATAAACCTTTCTTCCCAGAGAAATTTTTCTTTCAAGTTATAGAGATGAAGTACCATGGATGTCCTGGACCTCTTTATGTCAACATTTACCGTGCCTTTAAGGAATTTCTGAAAATAATCATTTTTTTGATCTTCGTCATCATCGTCATAATGGCATTTGGTGATATGTATAGTATATCATCAACTAATCAGATGATAGCAACAGGAGCGGGTGGTCTACTTCCATTTGTTTTCAGACATTTCTTTGCTAACAAGGGAGACATTACTTTTGATGTTAATAGTATCCAATTTAAAGCTGAATTCAATCGTGTTTTGACTAATTTTAAACAAACATGGCCGGTGTTCGATATAATTCCAATGAACTGTGAAAAGAAATCTTCTAGTTTTTCAGTTATGATTGACACGTCGACAGACGAATTTCTTGACGCCACTGGTAATGTTGATAATAATAATACTATTAATGACACAGAAGCTTTAGCTACTTCCTCCAGGCACTCACAAATTTTCGAATCTGAAGATGAAAACAAGGTAGATTTGGTAGTAGATGTGTCCAACTTCAGTGAAAGATACAGAGCTAAATTAACCAATAAAAGACTTGATGGATCGTTGACGATGTTAGCAGAGACTCATAGGGATTACGAATCTCACAAAATGGTTCGAAATAATAACTATGAAGTTTGATTGTAAAACGTATTCAAATGTGCTTCTCTAGTAAGAGATGGTGTCCTCGTAGTGCACCATTTCCACTGCCTTACAGACTGCTGTAGACAACATACAGAAAATCCCGACTGCATCATTTATAATTTTGTATAAAGCTAAATATCCATAATCCCGATTGTATCATTTAAAATTTTGTATAAAACAACAATCGGCCTTTATTGCAACCTCTGATAGATATTAACACGTTATCACAACTTACAAAACAGCCATCAGAGGCTGGAATAGAGGCAGATTATTATATGCTCTATCAAACCCATTGACATTGTTACATTCCGTATTCCAGAATTTGTAGTCTTTGGGGGTATTTTAGTATCACAGCGATAAATATGAAAAGCAAATCACCTATTTAGAGGCAATAGCACAAATTTGCAGTAGAATAGCGAGTTACATTGTAGTCTACAAGAAAATCAGGTGTCGTGGGCTCGGCTTTCAATATTGTCTTAATATCAAATCAACTACACTGTAAGATATATCAGCTAAATCATCCGCAAAACATTTAAACAGCGACTTCTTGTTATTGTAGTAGATTAACCTTCATCGTATTAATGTTTAATTATAAATCTCATATAGAGATTAACTATCACCTGAAATGGAAGACAGGGTATTATCGCTAATTAAGCTTGGTTGTTGATTAGAGGGATTTGGCTATAGTTTTAATTACTATGCTGGGTTGCCACAAACATTTCAAGGTAAGGTTCAATTTATAAATATTTATTATATTATATGAGAGCATTGGTAATCACAGCCTGATAGGGAATCTATAAAAGCAATTAATCAAACGTTATTATACTTTGAGCCTTAGATTCCATACTTGCCTGTTGACTGCCCCAACTGGTGCAACTCGGTGGATAATCCATAAAAGCAACTATTCAATTATATTAAATTGAGCCTTAGATTATCTACCAAGGCTGCATCAGGACTCAATGCGTTAACTCACAAGTGCTCAAGATAATGTCGTGCCCTAAGAATATTGGCAAGTAGTGCCTCTCGACATTACAAGCGAGTAAACTCTCCCCAAACAATGTTATATTAGTTAGGCTCAAAGTATAATAACGTTTGATTAATTGCTTTTATAGATTCCCTATCAGGCTGTGACTACCAATGCTCTCATATAATATAATAAATATTTATAAATTGAACCTTACCTTGAAATGATAGAAGACAGGGTTTAGATAATATATTTTTTTTTTTTTTTTATATAACTTGTATTGCTTCAGTTGTTAATTGAAGAATATGGCAGAGGCTGGGTTATATAGCCCATTCTAGGACGCTGTAGCTATAATCAAATACAGAGCTAACAAACAGTTTGTTTGTGGCAACCCAGCATAGTAATTAAAACTATAGCCAAATCCCTCTAATCAACAACCAAGCTTAATTAGCGATAATACCCTGTCTTCCATTTCAGGTGATAGTTAATCTCTATATGAGATTTATAATTAAACATTAATACGATGAAGGTTAATCTACTACATTATCTTAAATTGTTCTTTAATCATCCGTTAAGGACACAATGTGAATGAGTCGATGTCCGTCCGATAATTAATAAATTATTCCAGATCAATTGACTCCAGAAGAGGAAATAACCTAAACACAATAGACACTAATAGAATGACCCGTTATTGTCGAAGACAGACCTTTGATTTTGGATTTACACATTCACTCAATATTAACAAGAACGTCTGTAAACTATAAGAAAGCCATAGACGTATTCGAGGACATAAATCCAGCAAGTGCTCAAATTTGGATGATCTGCATATATAATCAAAATTTCCCCCGAAAATGTAGATTCTGGAGGGTAAATATCCGTTCAAAAGTAGTCTCAATCAGGTCAGAAGAAAATTCTCACGCAGTTTTCAATATCGAAATCAGAGATATCAATATGGGCAAGCCATTTTTACGGGGGATAGGGGGGGCTACAGGCCTGCTACATTTTCGGATTATTACCAATATTTATGCGCACCAAATATCATCAACGTCTATCCTAAACCGGACTAAAGTATTGACCGACCGCCGTCAAAAGTAAGATGCAATCAAAATCTATTTTTGAAAAGATTAGAAAAAGAATTTTTATATACGGGGTATTGTTTGCAAGTAGGTTCAATTCTTTGTTAGAGTCCACATGAATCAGATTCTATGGAAGGAAGCGGAGGATCGGATCATCTATTCGAAAAGTTGTTCAAGAAGATTGATGAGCTGTGGAAGGAGAATTATCAGTTGTTGACTGACGTCGATCAGCTGTTTAAAGACGATGATTTAATACCGTATGGAAATGCAAATAGAGTAACCACGAAATATAAGCTACCACTTTTCAGAACAAAAATCTGAGTAACTAAGCTTTCATCAATTCACTTGTAATGTAAATAAGAATTGTAATTATATTAAGAAGGCATAATTCATAAAATATCACAACTGTCATGAGCAGTAATATCGATTCCTTTATCATGGGTGGTTCATATCGGAAGTCACAAAAAAAAAAAACAAAACAAAAAACCAAAAAAAGTCCTAAAAGTTCGAGAGGGGGGTTTCTCAGCTGTTGGTAATCTGGTCTCTTTCATAATTCTGAGGCCACATTGAACACAGGTTTAAATAGGTTGCCTTGATAATGCATTTTTGACATTTTGTTCAGGGCAGTACAATTTGTATTCGATGACTTTCATATTTCCAGGGTTCGACAACGACATCTAGACGTTCATCTGTGAAAATTTTGAAAGAGTCTACAGCTGAGATACTACCTGTTGAACTTTACGACACCCGATATATGCGCTCAGATATCTGCTGAAACCCATAGGTGGTTATTCTAGAGTCACATCGTGTCAACTCACCAGAGTCTCTGTGTACTGGTACAGTTGTCCCTCTTGGGTTGTGCATGTTGACTTGAAAACATTGTGGGAGTTGGCCACTTAACGCTGAGTAGTGTCAGTTTGCAATATGCCAGAAAACATTCATTACATTGTATACATATCATTGTAAATTTAAACAATAAAGATAGCTTCACAAGCAAGGTAACATACGCCCACTACCAGCTGCCAGAAAAGATAAAGTCTGTATGTGGTGGTTTAATATTTTAATATGTGAAACCAATCATCCGATTGTTACTAATTTGGCTCCAAAACCATTGATCCAATTATTACCATTTTTGAACTTGAGCTCTCATCAATATATACATGCATACCAAGTTTCGTGGAGATCAGATAAAAACTGCACCCTGTATAATAACTACAAGCAAAATTTGAAGCGTTTATGCTTATAGTCAATGGCAATAACCATTCTTCCGATTATTACCAATTCAAACTTGACAGAGATCTCAACAATATACACATGTATACTACTCTCTGGCCACATTGAGTTCTAAATTGATTTCTCTCTCCCATGTCATAAATATTCAAAATATGTTTTTCAAGTTCATACCAGTTGTCTAAGAATGCCTTTGGGTCCATGAATACATAAAATTTGAAAATTTTGCAATTGGAATTTCATGTGAAAATGACACACATTTTGAACTGAACATCTCCCTCTGTAAAATCATAGTTTAAAATAATTTTGTGTTCAATGGTTGGCATTTTCATCAACCCAAAGACAATCTAAGACTCTCAGCAATATCTGGAGATTACTATTTCAATTCATACAAAATGATAGCCAAAATGTGATTTAGAACTTGATGTGGCCAGAGAGTAAGTCTCATCAAGATCGGATAAAAATTGTAGCCTTTATCGTGCATACAAGCCAAATTTAACGCGTTTATACTAAGTCAAGGGCAATAACTCTGAAACCATTATTCCGATTATTACCAATTTCAAAGTTGACCGAGATCTCAACAATATATACATGCATACTTAGTTTCATCAAGATCAGATAAAAATTGCAGCCTTTATCATGCATACAAGACAAATTTAAGGCGTTTTTACAAAGTCAAGGGCAATAGCTCTGAAACCGGTCATCCCAATATTACCTATTTCGAACTTGACCGAAATCTCATCATTATATACATGCATACCAAGTTTCATCAAGATCAGATTAATGCTGTAACCTCTATCGTGCATACAAGAAATGTGGACGGAGGGGCCGACGGACGTACAGGGGCGACAGCAATATACGTCCACAATTCCATGTGGGCGTATAAAAACAACAATATGCATACACTTACAATTGTGTGATCCACAGGTGCAATATTTAAAAATATCATGGTAAACGGAGATTAATCGACTTTTGTAAAAAGAGTCCAAATGTGGTGATTAGGAGAAATTATTCAAATGACTTCTATCATCGTAAAATTAAATGCTTTTAATTTCTTTCTGAACTGAAAGTTTATGTTTTCCTTCTTCTGAAGAATATATTTAAGATATAATTATTTCCCTCATGAGCTTGTGAGAATGCTGAATGCAAACTGATGAGCATGTGTACCAACAACAAAAGTCACCAGATGAGGGATCGAGTCACTCACTAATTCTGATAAAAATACCAACTTAAATTTCTGGATGTAATGAGAACTTTATTTAACATTAGAAGAAATATACAGCATTATATTGGTCTAGATTAAATCTTTAATAGATATACAACTATATTCTTATTACCATAATAATCTGTACAATAAATTAAATAACATACCATAATCCAGCACTACTCTTATAGGTAATTCAAACAAAATAGGGTGTAAATTTATTTGTTTACATTTATATTAACTCCAAACAAACTCAATCATATGATACATGTATACAAACATTTACATACATACAACAACCTAAATCATTTTATTATTTACAAAATTTTCATTGTATCATTTTGAAATGAACTGGATATTTGGAAATTTGAACATTAAGAATATAGACAGACAAATCCCAGTATTAGTTTTAATTGAAGTCCTGTATATTTATTCTTTTTTTTTTTTTTAAATATATATTTTTCAAAACTTTTTTTTTGTCAAGGCTATTACAAATATGTTAGTATTAACGAACCATGCTAATTCTGCTCTTGAAGCAAGAAGTTCACATTCACCTTTTTTTGTTAAAAATTTTGAAACTTGTAGGGGCATTCCGCTTTTTTGTAAAACATTTTCATTATCAAAAACGTCGTACATTATACCTAAAATATTTCTAAAGTATGCTATCCATATCTATGTATCTACTTGATCAAACTGAATATGTTTTAAGAAGTTAATCAAAAACTGAGAGTACTAATTGTTAATCAAGCAGTTTGACCTAGTTTCTGTGATTGGCTTTATAATGGCTCTTTATATTTAGTTGAAATATTTAGAATATGAAGAAAACATAATTCTCTAAATTAGTTGTTTATTTTACTCAACTCCGTCCATTAGTTTTCAAGCTTGCAAACAGCATAACGAAGTTAAAAGATTATATAAAAAAAGCGGAATGTCCCTTTAACATGAAGCAGGTTTTTCAAAAAATATGAAGGTAATGTCTTTTTAAAGCACTTCACCATAAATATTAATCACAATAAATGATTTAAGCCAACCCAAATCCTTCTGAACATTCACTGACTGCTAATAATAGTTGGTGACGTAACTTGTCATATGTTTCATAAGCTGGTAAATCTAATTGATTAAAACTGAAATTAAATAAATACACTAACTTAGTCTTTGCTGTTGATCATAGTTGATAAATTGTTATGCTGCTTCGGATAAAATAACAATCATACAAAGATGGGTGTCACATCTTCTTGGTCAAATCATGCTTATTGTTAGACCAGGTTTCTAATGAATACTTTATTTTAGTTTGAAGAAAGTGTGTAATTAAGAAAAACTCAATTTTGTCACACTGCTGATGCCCGTCTCTTACATAAAAATAAACTATTGAGGCAGTGAAAATTAGCCAATATAATCATGATACATATGAATATAAGAAATAAATATTTACCAGGTATGTGCTGTAGGTAACCTATCTGTAGATCGATCATCTCTATGTATTTGAAACTTCTGTATACCATTCATACCCTCTAGATAAGCAAAGCCTTGAAGTGGTACTTTAGATGTACCAGTAACAAACTGTAAGAAGTTAGCTCGTTCAGCTTGATCAAATGATCTTAATGCTCTCCAAAACCATTGAATCTAAAGCAAATCATAAATGATACTACTAGTAAACATTTTTGTCCATAACTTACTAAATGATGATAATGCTTACAATACCTTATAAGGATTGTAAAAAGGTTTTTCTAAGTTTTTTTTATGTGTATTGGGAACACTGACCGCACCAATTTGCACCATTCCAATTTGTAGTGTCTGCAATTCAACTAAGAGCTTGTTGACGTCACTTATCACAAATATGCTTGTATCTCATGAGGTCCTTTGGGATTAGTGACATCAAACATTTAGCTTTAGTGGAATTGCAGGAACCACAGACGTCTGATTAAAATTGGGATGGTGCAAATTGATGCAATCTGTGTCTCAATACACATACAATATCAAACCTCTTTACAATCCCTATAACTTTTTTTTTGTATTAAATTGTCTTCAATGATCAGCCTTTCAAATATTAGTTTTTAGTTAATAAGCCCAAGTGTAAAAACTTTATTGACTTCAAAAGTCACAAGCTTGCTAACCTTCTCAGAAGCCACTTTATGACTGGGTTTGACAATATTTCATTTATACATATAGGCTATATTTCTTGTTGCTACTATAAATGAAGACAAATGAACAAACCTGTAGTGATGTGGCTTGATATTTATGATATTCTGAATTAGCTTTCAAATCATCAATATCTATAGTAGGTAATCCTGATATTAATAACTCTATTTCTTGTTCAGTAAATATAGACACTAATTTCTTAGGTATAATATCATAAAACCCTTCTAAGAAAGCATTTAATTGTTTTCTGATATCAGCTGTCATCCTCATTTGACAAACTAATTTAACATATTCCCTCTTATTCTCCTCTGTAACTGGTATATTTCTACCATTAGGTTTTAAATCTCTAGATTCGGTGACACCAAACTCTTGTATCTATAATAAAGATATCCATTGCATATATCAAAGGAAGAAAAACAATGCTTTAATCATTCTTACTCCATGTCATGGCACAGCAATAATAGTGCATTTGAACAAATTAATTCTTCATATTGAAATACAATAAAATAACTGGTTTTGTTTAATCTTACCTCAGTACTAAATGATAACTCATAACCCAATTTATCAACAGTGTTTTCTAGTAGAAAAACTAAACCAGAGTAGAATGAATAGTCTTCACTTTCCATGTCATTATATCTGTAATGATAACAACAATATTTCAACTTTATATCTGTAGTGAGATCCAAAGTTAGTCAAAACTCTTTGTTTATTTAAGGAATTACCTGAACATTTTTTCAGTTTATTGATGCATAAACTACATAAGCTATAGAGATTTATACAGTCTTCAGAGGTTTTTTTCTGTTTATACATCTATAAATTGAAAAAGTGTTCAGGTCATTCCTTATAATTAAATCAACTCGAATACATGTTTAAATATTTATTTAATGTAACAACAATTTAAGGCACTAAATTGCCGCAAAAATATATAACATTTTTACATAATGCTAATGAACTGATACTAACAAAAGAGACATCCTAGAGAACAGCCAATCAGCAAGATTATTGAAAGATGAGTTCAAAATAAGTCCAGAATTCATAATTTTGTTGTCAAAATCCAGCCAGAATCATGCCTTTTAGTGTTTAAGAGCTAAATTTGAAAGTGTTTTCAAGAACAAGGGCAATAACTCATACTAAATATTTTTCATTTCTTCTGATTTTCAATAGGGTTCATCCTTGTGTGATTATGAACATTCACACCAAGTTTCATCAAATCCATCAAGAATTGTGCCTTCTAGAGTGTTTACGAGCTAACAATTAAATGTGTTTTCAATAGCAAGGGCAATAACTCATACTAAATATTTTTCTGATTTTCAATAGGGTTCATACTTGGGTGATTATGAACACTCATACCATGTTTCGTTAAAATCCATCAAGAATTGTCCCTACTAGAGTGTTTATGAGCTAAAAATTGAACGCGTTTTCAAGAACAAGGGGAATAACTTATACTAAATATTTTTCGATTCTTCTGATTTTTAATAGGGTTCATCCTTGGGTGATTACGAACACTCATACCAAGTTTGGTCAAAATCCATCAAGAATTGTGTCTTGTAGAGTGTTTACGAGCAATTGTGGACGGACGGACATGGGTGACGGCAATATACACCCCCCATTTCATGTGGGCATATAAAAATCTGTTAACTTACTTGACTTGTAATCCTAGTAGATGTTTATAGAATGATCTAGTANAATAACATTCTAATAACTTATTGTCATAGACAGCTTTAGCAATAATTCTTCCCACAAATTTAAAATAACTGAGATGATTAGAATTACAATGTGATGATGGATTGATTGTGTATGTTACTCTATCACCAGGTGATGTACGGAATAGTGCGTAGTTAGGATTAAATATTTCTCTGGAGATAATTAAATACCATTCTCTTAATAAACCTCCTGCATCCTGACCTTCTTCACCTGTCAATAAAAATATACCATTTTATTTACAGCAGTAACAGTTGAGAAAGACTAAAATTACTATCTTTTTTAACATTGAAATTATACTGCCATTTTCTTATTCTCAATTGTCCATGTTGCTAAGCACATTTTACATCAATTAATTGTCAAGTGATATTAATTTGAGCTTGGAGACAAACACCAGCAAAATCCTATAAATCTAAAATTGTAAAAACATAAAATTTCTTTAAGAGCTTGAGTTCATGTCATGTTTAAATAAACAGGTACTTGCCTTCAAAGACAATATAGAACCTTTGTTTCCATTCTTCTGGAGAACGCCGGAAGAGTTCACGGAAGGAATCTTCAAATACATGTTCTCTACGTACATGCACTGGTAAATCTTCACGTCTTAAACCTTCATCGTGTTGTTCTAATTCTTGACGGAAATATCTTCTTTTTACATCAAAGTCTAGTATACGTGTATGGTCTACTAACACCGAGAATGGACCTTCAGCTAAAGGTGTGGTGGACTGTCTTAATATCTGATTTAATACAGTTCTGTGAGTTTCTGAAATATTATTACATGTATAATAAATATATCTTGGTATACTTATATAAACATTAACTTGTTTTTACGACTAACGTTGAAAGCCTTGTTGAGTTGTCAACCGTTTTAGTTTTAATATTACCTAACAATCCTTAATGTGTTATGTGATTATCAATATAAACTACATTTAAAATAATAACGTAAAATAATTAATTATACCAACCAGCAAAGCGCAAGAATTTCTGTGTATCTGGAGGAAGGTGATTTAATGATGAAACTGAAGCTACAGAGTTCTCGCGAGATAATAATTGTGAATCAGATATACCAGGTGATGGTGGTGCCATCTCTAAATTAAGATGCGCCATTTGATCTTCACGTTTCTGATTACTAGTTTCACCTGTTTTACTTTCTTTTTCACCTACACAAAATAAACATTTTTAATGCTAAATATGTCTATATCACTATTTACTGTCTCAAATATTTAGTTCTTAAATGTAAACTTTCAAAAATATATTTTTTACTTGAAAATATGGAGCAAAACATTAATTTAGAATTTCATTGTCATCTACTCTGTTACTCAGAGTTAAAGAAACGGGGTCTTACCAGCATGTACTATAAAGAAAGCCTCGACAGCAGATTGTAATATCAATACAGCATGTTGATCTGGTGTTTTAGCTAACTCTGTTAAACAATCACCTAACATAGACCATAAATCATCTAATGCTAACTGATCACTTAATCTAGGTAGTATATTCTTTTCTTCTTTCTTTTCTTTCTTATCTTGAGAAGGACCTGTAATATATCACACTGGTCAGTAAGCACTGGTTAAGTTCATCTTAGAATAATCAATAGTTATGTTTCTGGCATATAAAGCATAAAAACACCTGAATATTTACTTCACCAATAAAATTTTAGGTTTATCAAAACATATTCACATTCTTCATGATATATTGGTCATTTAAAGTACACGTCTATCATGTGTTGCATTTGTTAAACTTGACCCGTGTCCAAATGAGAAGGGACATAACTCATTTATGGCATGACTATGTGGAAATTCGTTAAATTGCACCATTTTAGGGGGAACGGAAATGTGTGGATAAATGAGGCTCCACTGTATTAGCATTCTCAACATCCTGTCCCAGAGGTGATGACAGTATTTTTTATTGAAATGTTGAGAAATATGTCAGATCTTTATTCTGAAACTTAGCTCTATCAGTTGATTAAACACATGGTCAAATATAATGAATATCAAAACTTATTTTACTGACCAGCTTGATCAACATCCATTGGTGTATCACCAGTTTGTTCTGATGTTGATGGTATTGCATTAGATGTTGATGTTGCTGTATCTGACGAAGTTGAAGTTGTTGATGTAGTTGTTGATGGTGCTGTATTTAAACTTCGACCTTGTACACCAAATAGATCAGAATCATAACGGGACAACAATGAATCCACTTCATCTTGTAAAATGTCATAAGTAGCTGAAATGAAATGTTATGGAATAGGTAAGCTTTCAATAACAATCCTCATTATATGCATCTGCTTCATAATTTAAAAGAATATTCATACTTCCTTAAATTTAAATAAGCTAAGTAGAAGTTGCAAAACTGACAAAAAACAAACAATATTTTAAGAGCAGATTAAGAATTTGATGTATCTGCAGTATTTCGTCAAATACGCTTTCAGCCTTTCACTCAGTTCTATACAAAGATGATACCAACCTGAAGTTATTGGTTTAGGTGTATTTTTATTGGCAACCCTTGCTGCTTCTCTGAGTTGTATGATAACTTTTAATACTCGTAAGAAGAACTGTTGACTGGAGACTTTACTGGTTAATTGAGACATAGAAGGTAATTGCAACTCTCGTCCAGTCTTAAATTTAGTTGGTGCAGCCACTATGATATTATTACCAGGAGCAAATCTGAAATGACACAAATAATGGAAGATAACACACTAATAATTTCAGGTTGTAATGTACCATATTTATGTTATACATTTTGTATTTCAATCCAAATGAACAAACATCATGGGATATAACTGGGATCATATGAGACATATCCAATGCTGGGTCAAAATGTTTCTTATCGTGACAACAACACGTTTAGTTTTGATTATCGTGTCTAATCCACAACCCCAATCGTCATACTCCTCGCGACTGTAGTAATACAAGTGAGAGAAATTAAGTATTCATATTTAAACATTGTCCAATCAAAATTGGCCCTGCTGTCTTGATAGTAAAATTTCAGCCAATAACAAAAAATCACACGTTATGACGCTTAATTTGCCAATGTTAACAAAAAAGAGAACAGGGTATCATTAAATATTTTGATTAATATGGACAGTACAGAAATGAGTAAGTGAATTGAAGCCGAGATAAAAACAAACCTTACTTTGGAATATTTACTTGGAAAGAATATGTTCTTATCTCTTCAAACGGACTGCGTCAAAGCAATTTTGAGTTTTGTTTACATGACCTCATTTCCATCCTACCGATCCGATTGAGCAGATTGAAATAGCATCAATCTCATTTCCACATCAACAAACCGAAGTGCAGCGGACTTAGTTTAATATGGGTTAATAAGACCATGTCAAAACCTGTATTCGAGATACAATGAGTTTTGATGTACTATAAAGGACACCTACCTATCAACAAGTACACCTTTAGATTGTTGTGTTGGTACCACATCCTCTCTATTATCATCATCATAATCATCTTTTAATTTACAATTCATTTCTTGTAGTTCATGTAATAAACACCTGCAAACATAATTATGATAAAACTTACATTGATGGTTAAATTTATTTAGAAATATTCTACAGTTGCCATCACTAAGCACTTAATTCAATTATTTTTGTTTAGAATAGTCTTGATCATATCTTATACTTCAGTGTTCTCTGAGCATGAATGGAACGATCAAATAGACTTGCTATTAAGACAGTTATATTAAATGATAGACCAACCTGATATGTGTACTAACAGTTAAACCTAATTCTCTAGCTCCTTGTAATAACAAATTTAACACAGAATTCCTGGTGGCTGGTGTAGCCCATGATAATTGTAACAATAAATTAGTAGCATCTTCTAGACCCTCTTCAGAACAAGATTTAGATGTTAATACCTAGAATACAATAAAATTTGATCAACATGAGTACATCATATATATTACTTATTTAGTATTGTTTACATGTTCAAGTTGAATACAATTTTATAAAATTTGAATTCACAAGCCACATATAACATAATTTCAATGTATCAAGGGATGAAACACAGATATCCAAGATCTCGTGATTATTAACCTACACATTAAATTTGATAAAAATCGGATAAAAACTGTGGCCTCTATCAAGTTCACAACCTGTTCATTTAACATAATTTGAAACTCTGATTATCCTTTGACGAAATGTACCCAAATTCAAACTAATCCGTCCACTAATAGCTTGTTAAAGCGATAGAGGCTACTGCCTCTAAATTGCCTCCTCCCCAAAGTAAAAACTTTTTTGACAAATCGTTGGGTATTAAAGGATGGTATTTGATGTCAAGTTTTATTATTTATTACACCAAGTTCAGTTTACATCAAATGCATCACTGTACTACTAGTGGTATTGGTGATCCTATCATAAAGTCTTCTGTGGATGGTTATTGCTGCCTGCTTTTTCTTTTTGGAATCAGCATATTAAAATGTGGGCGTATAACAAATCGTAAATGGACTAAACAAACATTGAGAGAGAGACTTGGGTATATAAAAATAGCCACAAAGATCTGCTACCTGTACAGCTAATTGTAATTCTGTTTCTAATATAGGTTTATCATCTTCTATCTTATCTTCCTTAACATCAATACTCTCTACAATATAATGGTCAATAACTTGTATCACTATTAGTATGAAATATATATGGTACATATTAAAAGCCTTTATTTCAGTATCATACCAGAGCCACAATTGTTCATTGCAGAAATCCAGGAAAAATTTCCAATTGTTATCTCAATACAAGTAGTAAAATCATTCGCATGACATATTTGTTACTTTAATAGTTATGAAGATAAATATAGTCATATAGTATTACAAGGTAGTAATGAAGTTTGTCGTACCTGTTAGTTTTTCACCAGTAGACTGACTAGAGATATTACTAGCTGTAGTGGTAGTTGTATTAGATGACATGGATGTTGACGGTGTGAATATAGATAATGGTGTAGTGGTATTACCAGTTGATCTGTTACGAGCTGATTCAGGAAGACCTATAGATACTAATCCTAATAATCTTAACAACCTATCAGTTAATAACTGACTACGACGTATCACAGAATGAGATAAGAAGGCCATTAATTGACCTATAGGTGATGTGTTATAACTACTACTAACAATTTCAACTTCTGAAGTCAAACTACTGTGAAATTTGGGAATTCCTTTACCCTTTTTACCACTAGCACTATCTAATCTCACTAATAGATCCCAGAAGTCAGTTTCAGTCTTGTCAGATTTATCTGATTTACTTAATCTAGGACTTACAGTTCCACCACTAGAAGAGCCACTGGCTTTAGATTTTATTTCACTGTCTTTGTCTTCTTCACATTTTTGCACTTCTTTCACTTTATTATCATCATTAGCACTTGTAGATGGTAGGAAATGTCCAGGGAATATTTTAGCTAGAGAGATTAAGGTGTCTAGAACATGACGACAAACAACAGGAGCAGCTTGTGAATGTATAGATACACTAGTATTAGAAGTATTGGTATGTTTTTTACCACTTCTCAGAATCTGAAACACATTGGCACGACATCCCAGAGCAGCTTCTTGACTGATGTTTAACCAGGAGACATGGTTACGCTCACTACGACTTAAAGATGGAGAATCAGTTTGCATCGCAGTTATTTTTCTCTGTTTACTTGGTGTTCTTGCTTTATCTTCATTATCTAATTTACAATCACTAGTTTTCTGTAAAATTGATAACAGAGCACGAATAACCCAAGCTCGAGTTGCACCATGATAACACAAGTTACGTAGAACTCGATGTAATCTACTCGTATTTAACTTAGGTTCATCTAAAAATAACAACACTAATAAACAGGTTAATGATTCATGGTCTAATAAATGGCGTCCCTTTAACTTCATATTGTTCGCATTGGCAGCATTTTGTTGTGACATTCTTCCAGAGCCCCATGTTGACAAGTGGTTGCCGAATCGAGGTGCTCTAATGGCATATCTGGTTCCTATTCTAGATGCCAGACCTGAAAAATAATAAAATTGAAATAAGAAAAAAGATATTAATGAAACAAAATTAAAATAATTAAGATTTTTGTTCATTCTTAAAACAAGTTACAGATTTCATGACATGGTCATGATCTTTCCTTGTTCACTATTTTCAGTCACACCATTGTTGTAATTTAAACCAGTATCTAATTTAGCATGAACATTTTGAAATTATGTCATTTAGTATTGTTTCACTAATTAATTTTGGGATATTTCCAATTTTTTAATATGGTCGACTTGTATTGAAAATTGTTTTCTTCTAAAAAAAATTTCAATTAATTCCTTAAATTTTATGCAAGTATGCAGATTAACAAAGGTTTTATTACAGAAAGCAGGAGTCTATTCAAATAATTGAAAATTATCTAGTCGACCATATGATATCTAGGTTAATCATTTTTACCAGTATGTCTCAAAATAGCAGACAAAGATGCAGCACCCGCTTGTGCAAACAATCTTTCTTGGATCAATCTTCGGTGTCGATCTTCTAATTCACGTCTCAACTCTTGAGC